AAGTCCAGTTCACGGACAGGAGGTAGCCCCGAGAGGTCGTCAGGGAACACATCTGAAAACTCTTTGTCCACGTGGACGGAGTCGATGCTGGGTGGAGTCACACTAATGTCGACGACACTGGCCAAATATCCCCAGGCACCTATTTTGTAAAAGGCGTCTTGCCTTCAACGTTGAGACTGCCCTTGGAACTCCACCTGTAACTCCTTTAAACGTAAAGCTCCGACCCGAAGGTAGTTGGAAAGAGACTTCCCTCCTCGAGCAATTAATGTTGGCTTGGTTGGTAGCCAGCCAATCCATGCCCAAAATGACGTCAAAATCCTGCATGTCCAGTTGGATCAATCTTGCCTCTAGGGTCCGATTGTCAAAAGATAACTCACATTCTCTCACCATTTGAGTAGCAATGAAAACCGACCCTGAAGGTGTAGAAACTGACAACAAAAACCCTAACGACTCTAGTTCGAGGGTTGCCTAACGAACAAACGCAGTAGATATGAAGGTGTGACTCGATCCCGAGTCAAACAATACATAAGCAGGCACATTATGGACTAAGATCGTACCTGGGAGATAATGCAAAGGTAAAGACATAAACCCCGCACGCAACACTCCAAATAAAACAAAAAGAAAACCCCAAGCGAAAAAGAAGTACCTGTGACAACGGTTTCGGCATCCGCCGCATCCTTGTGAGTAAGTGCGAAGACACGAGCCCTCTAATTACCTCCCTGTGTCGAAACTGTTGGGGGAGCCCTCTGGCCTAGCCTTTGAGTATTCGCGGCTATCATAGAACATTCCCTTGCAAAATGCCCCTCCCTTCCGCACTTGAAGCAACCCCTAGTTCCCGTCCAACACTGCCCCGCATGTCTTCTCTGGCAGGAGGGGCACACTGGTGGCAGGCCCTACTACTGAGCCGGGCGCTGGGGTGTTCTAAATGGCTGGTCGGTGTAAGCCAGAGAGACCTTTCTTTTCACACCTGAAGATGATCCGACTTCCACCAGAGGTTGGACCCTGTTGGAGACATCCTTATCCATAATTAAGGCGCCCCTAACTGCTTCAGCGTAGGTGACGGGTCGCTGAAGGTCCACTGGTCCCTTTATTCCCTTGCGCAAGCCCTTAACAAACCTCTTGATCTTCATTTCTTCAGTGGGAATTAATTCCCGAGCAAAAAAAGAGAGCTCTGTAAACTTCCTTTCATATTATGCTACCGTTAAGGTTGCTTGGCTGAGATGGAGGAATTCTGCCTCTTTCATATCTTTCACGGTCTCCGGGTAATAGTAGTCGTACAACAAGTCCTTGAACCTTGCCCACGTATCTGGTACGTTAGCATGATCTTCTGCCGCTACTACTGAGTCCCACCAATTCAGAGCCTCGCCCCTCAACATAAAAACCGCACCCTTAAACTTGAATTGGTCCTCGCAACCTAGGTACACGTAAAGGGCTTCCAACTCCCTGACCCACTCTTCTGCTGCTGTCGCTTTCTCGCTTCCCCCGTCAAAGGTAGGGGGTCCGTAACGCTTGAAATCCTTGATGAATTGAGCCTCGCTCTGGGGAGTATGAAAGTGTCGAGGTGGCTGAGTTTGTGCACCGCCAACCCCCGCTGTGTTATTGACCAGTGCCTGCAATGTGATTACGCTTGTTTACATGCGTAAAAAGAAGGTTTTAGATGCTGTTTTTACTATGTTTCAGCTTTGTTTCGGATTTTTCTCAATCGTTTGAGTTCCAATTCATGCAAAATTCATATATTATGGTTTGTGGTTGGCTTATATTGTATTTATGACATTTTAGGACCATTTGGGAGTGCAAATTAATCAAAAGAAGCAAAAAGACGAAAAAGTTACATGGGAGGCGCCAGGCGCCTGGGATGCCTGCAGAAAAACAGGTTTTCTTCCAACTTTGCCCTTAATGAAACGCGTCTTCCAATGCGTTTTGGTGGTTCCAACCGATGCATACGTGTAGAA